AGGTGAGCAATCAGTCAGCTCTACTGAAACGCGTCATCAAGGAAACCTACCACAAGAATGCAGATGCCTTGTGCAGACCATAAAGGCACAACTAAGCCTTGGAGATGGCTACTCTGAGAAGTGGCCTGCAGCTCACATAGGACAGCACAGATCTCTCCTCAGCATTACAAACATTATAAAAATGAACAGAATAACTTCTCCCAAAGCATATTCTTAGAAGACAAACATAAAAATGATGTCTTTTTCTGGTAGCTGACCTGTTCCGCCTCCTAAGGTGATCATGAGAGCAACAGCTTTCTGATACAAGTGAACCAGATCAAATGCTAACATACAAGACCCTGGACTGAAACCACGCACATGAACCACAGAATCGTTTAGGTTGGAAGGGACCTCTGGAGATCATCTAGTCCAACCTCCCTGCTCAAGCAGGGTCACCTAGAGCATGTTGCCCAGGATCACATCCAGATGGGTTTTGAATATCTCCAGGGAAGGAGACTCCACTACCTCTCTGGGCAACCTCTTCCAGTGCTCTGTCACCCTCACAGTCAAGAATTGTTTTTCCTCATGTTCAAATAGAACTTCCTGTGGTTCAGTTTGTGCCCGTTGCCTCTTGTCCTGTCGCTGGGCACCACGGAGAATAACGAACACTTCCATTAGAAAGAAAAAGCCTGACTGCAAGCTGCTGCAGCAACCAAACATCTAACCAAGGTACTGATCACAGAAGCAAAGATTTTTCCAAGTGGCTTGGATTCAGTGGCAACAAATGTGACTGTGCAACCCATGGTCAAAAAAAAAAAAAAAAAAAAAATCATCATACAAGTAGCACTGGAGAAGAGCCCACTAGTTTTGGCAGCCAGACTGCAGGTCCCTTCTCTCAGTTTTTCACCATGACACAGCAAAAAATCCCTGGAAGAGAGAGCCATAATCTGACCTGGATCACGGTATACAGGTGCACATAAGTATCTGACTGAAATCTCTATAGCAAGGAAACTAGCCAGAGGGTCAGAGAAATAAATAGTTTTAGACTGCTCCTGAAGAGTAAGACAAAGCAAGGGCACTCCTCTGGCATCTTGAAACCGTGGCAAATGCTATGAATTGCAAATTGACAGTGTAGAGAGACACTAGCAAGTTGAGACACAAAGGTCCAAGAATAAACAATTAGATTGTGTTCCACCTTCTCCAATGCAATACGGATAACGTAATTAGTGGGCAAGGACAGACTGCTTGGCTCTGACGGCTGTGGACTTCTCAACCCCAGGACTACATTAACTCTTAGGCAGATTCTAGATTGGAAAAAAAAATTAATTCAAGCTCTTTCCAACACATAATATCATGTGAAAGGCAGCATTGTACCAAAAGTAGAGGAAGAATCAGCACAGTATCAAAGGATAAAACTGCTTTTGCAAAAATATGGGAATTGAAAGAAGCAGGTAAGGTGTACAGGAAGCACTGCTGGGAGTGCAGAGAGTGGCCTAAAGCCAAAGCAGGATGACTGTTGGAAATGAAACATTCATCAGTATGAACCATATCAGACACTAGGCAATGAGGCTGAGCTATGCCTTATGGGTATTTAGACCTGACCTGACCTCAGCTTTGAGCAAAATGTAAAACATCTAATCAAAGAGTAAGCACCCTTGGGTGAAACCATACTTTGTGACAGTCACTAATACTTTCATGTTCCTTTTGGACAATACTCTTAGCAAAATACAAACACAACGGAAAAATCCAAGTCCCATGATATGCCCTGCAAAACCTTCACGAAATTAAAGGGAGGCAGGATTTCATCCAACAAATAAGAAGCAAAAGGAAATGGTTCTCATGGGAGACTTCAACCACCCTGACATCTGTTGGCAAGACAGCACAGCTAGGCACAGTCAAAGATTTTCCTGCAGAGGATTGATGACAATTTCTTGACCCAGGTGGTGGAGAAGCCAACGAGGAGAGGTGCGCTGCTAGACCTTGTACTAACAAACAAAGAAGGACTGGTTGGAGATGTGAAGGTTAGGGGCGGCCTTGGCTGCAGTGACCATGAGATGGTGGAGGTCAGGATCGTGCGAGGAGGAAGCAGGGCAATGAGTAGGATCACAACCCTGGACTTCAGGAGAGCAAACTCTGGCCTCTTCAGGGACCTACCTGGAGGAATCTCCTGGGGTAGGGCCCTAGAAGGAAGAGGGGTCCAAGAAAGCTGGTTAATATTCAAGCATCACTTCCTCCAGGCTCGAGACGGGTGCATCCCTCTGAGTAAGAAGTCCAGCAAAGCGGGCAGGAGACCTGCACGGATGAGCAGGGAACGCCTGACAAAAACTCCAACACAAGAAGGGAGTGCACAGAATGTGGAAAAGGGGACAGGCCACTTGGGAGGAATACAGGGACGTTGCCAGAGTGTGCAGGGATGCGACAAGGAAGGCTAAGGCCCAGTTGGAATGAAATCTGGCAAGGGATGCCAAGGACAACAAGAAGG